TGGCTACCTTTTCTCTGGCCCTCTGACTTTCAAATAAATAAATCTTTAAAAGAATAAAAAAATACTTTTCTTTATCAGAGATGAGAATATACTGGTAAATTATTTTGAAGTTTAATTTATTTTTAATTCTCTTCCTTTGAGAAGACCAAAAGTTAAACCCCAATGTGGCAGGTAACAGGCAGTTGTGGGCAAAATTTCAAGAGACAGCAGTCCCATTTCTGATTTCACTTCCTCTGCCATGTGACTGCTTCCCTCTGGGTTTCACTGAAACGGCCTTAGCAAGGTCAGAACACAACTTTCTGAGAGCCAAATGTAATCATGACCATTTCACTTTTTAAAAATTTATTTTTATTTTATTTATAAGGCAAAGAGACAAAAAGACAGACAGTGACAGAGACAGATCTTCCACCCACTGGTGGATCTACTCTTCAAATGCCAGCTGGGCCAGGCGGGAGCAGGCATCTGCAACCCAATCCGGGTTTCCCACAGGAGCCACTGCCTGCTATGGCCTGTGCTCTGTTTTGGCAGGAAGGTAGAATCTGGAATTGGACTAGAACCCAAACACTCTGACATGGAATTTTAACCCCTGTACCAAATGCCTGCCCTGGATCCAGTTTAAAGCCTTGGCTCAAAGTGTCACCCCTGTAAAGTTGTCTTTAATACAACTCAGACAAGACTTAGATTAATAAAATAACACTGAACTAGAGCTACCTGTTGCTTCATCCAGCAGAAGTTACTTAGAAGTAACACCCCCTTTCAAAATGCATAGTGTCTTAACACATGATCAAGGTCTATGCAATTAAAATAAAAGGAGGGTTTGCTAGGTTACCTAGGAAACCCCATTTATTATACTTTTTCTTTGAAGTGCTTATAATAAGAACAAACTAAACACAGGAAAAGCCTGGAGCGTTTCCAAGGAGAGTTTTCTTCATAGAGTCAAGAAATATGCCTCAATTTCAGAAGGAAAATTCCAGTATATAGGCACTATCATTTTGCTGTCCACAGCTCTTTAATTCCAGAGAACTGAACTTCAGGAACGTCCCTATGAACACCAAGCTCTTGGGTAAAAGTAGTAAATGAAAACGCATCCTCCGCTTACCAGCCCAAGGGGAAGGCCCACTGCCAGTTAGTTAGTTGTTTTAGGGTCCCTATGTCTGAAACAATTGAGGGACTCCCAATCTCATGTCCAACAAAACTCCCTTGAGACTACACCCAGAAAAGTGCTCTATCTATAGTTCCTACGCCAGAACTCTCTCTCCAGGCTCCTCAGCCAGCATGTGCCTGTTGCTCCTCCCCCACTCTAGGACTTCCTGCAGTCACTCCCTTCCCACTGACTTCCTTCCCCTAGTCCTACAACTCACTCTTGCCTGGGGTCAAAGAGCAAACCCTGCAGTTAGCCAAGGAACAGGGAAGGAGGAAGAAATAAGAGAATGGGTAGGAATAGTGAAAAAAGGGTGGTTAAGAAACCCAGAGCCTACTAATTTCCAACAGCCCCACCCTTCCCCTCTGCTCATCACTCCCAGTGCCTCCCAGCCTTCCCTGAAGCACATCTAGCTCCTAGTTTCCTCATTCTTCCTACCAGCACATCTGGCCCCTAGTTTCCGCATTCTTCTTCAATCACCTCACCCTCTCCAAAGCTCCTGCTGCCTCAGGCCTGTGGATTTGCCTCTCTGAGGTTCCAGGTGCTCTGGTTCTGACCAGAGCTCCAGGCTCAGCTCCAGCTAGGGTCACACAAGAGCACCAAGAAGGACCAAGAAAATGTGCCCAGGGGGAAGTTAGGCAGTGGAGGTCATGAGAGTAACAATAAATTTCACTAGGACAGTCCTGATGACATTAGGGCCTTTTTTTTTTTTAAGATTTATTTATTTTTATTGGAAAGTCACATATATAGAGAGGAAGATCTTCCATCTGACAGTTTACTCCCAAGCGGCTGCAACGGCTGGAGCTGAGCCAATCTGAAGCCAGGAGCCAGGAGTTTCTCCAGGTCTCCCACATGGGTGCAGGGTCCCAAGGCCTTGGACCATCCTCAACTGCTTTCCCAGGCCACAGCAGGGAGCTGGATGGGAAGCGGGGATGCCGGGACAAACTGGCGCCCATATGGGATCCCAGTTCATTGAAAGGAAGGAATTTAGCCACTACGCTATGCACCAGGCCCAACACTAGGACCTTTACCACCATTTCAAAACAATTTCCTTGAGAAACATACTTAGTTTCCAAATATCAGGAACCTTTAGAATATAACCCTATTTAGAAATGAAGACTGCCTCCAAGGATTTCCTAATACATTATTAACACAGTATTACAAAATTCACAAATGGTAAGTAAGTGGTGTTGGATTTAAGGAACACCTATCTACATTGTAACAAAAGTGACCATATAGGTTCCCCTAGCTTGCCAAGGATCTATTTACTCATCCAGCATTTGGTTACATGGAGTCTGGAAAATGTAACATTGCTGTATGAACCTGTGCTCCGGGTAAGACCCAGATATTGGTCCTGGAGTGTTGAGAAGCTGTTAAAAATACTCCTCTGATGACTCCAGTAGAAAAATCTTTGACAGTGAAAAATCATTCGCGTTTCAGCAGTTTTAGAACCCCAGACAAGGCTTTGGATTCGGAATTAACTGCTGCAAAGCAGAGGTCTGTATATTCAGCAGCCAGAGTACCAAACAGCATTTCCGCCTGGACCTCCTCAGCTCACCTGAGAAATATGTTCCAGACCGTCGTCTCAAGTACCTTATCTTAGGAGACCGAGGTATCCTTCTCACAAAGGCATGGCTTTTGTCTTCTCTAACTCAATGTTATTTACAAAACGAATAAATTTTGAAGAAATATGGTTAAGTCTGACCCTACAACTGATGGCTTTGGATTTGGCTAGCACATCTGGGGAATGTCAAGCCTGCTGAGGGTTCTCATTCCAGACCTAAACAACAAACTCCACAGAATTCATCATCTTTCAATAGACTGCTCTACGTGACATTCAGCAACCTGTTCAAAGTTGCCTTTGGTTTCTGGTAACCTGTAGAAGGAACTTTCCTTAAAAACATGCCTCCTGTCACACTGGCTGGTTGGGAACATGAACTCCTTCCATCCTGACTTCACCCATCAGAGCTGCAGCACTCTAACGACAAAGACAGCACAGAAAGAACGAGTTCCAGAAATGAACAGCTCATACCAGTAACTTTTAACAGCAAACCCTTGGAATGTAAACCTAATGACCAAACCTCCAATTCTGAGAAAAACAAACAAACAACCTTTATCTTAGCAAGGATACTAGTGTGTGTACTATGAGAAAAAAAAAAGTAATTACACACAGGCACAAAAGAACAGTACCAATAATAACATCCCATGGTAAGAAGACCATACTTCACAACAGACAATCTGAAAAAAAGTTGGAAACTTAACTCCAATACTCTCTTGAAATATTTATGCCCAGAAGAGGCCTCTGCCTAGATACTTCTGTTTAGGGAACAGATGTAAACTGAATGGAGCCAGCCATGAGAGAAAATAGGCCAGGGAAGTAACTGGCCTTTTATAGGTGAAAGGAGAACAGAGAGGATGACAAGTTTAAAAAAAAATGCTGGAATGGGGTGGGCATTTGGTGCAGTGGCTAAGGGACCACTTGGGATGGCCACATCCCCTTTCAGAGTGCCTGGGTTCAAGTTCTGGCTCTGTTTCTATTTCCAGATTTCTGCTAATGCAAACCCTGGAAGTGCAAGCACCTGGATTCTTGCCTTCCAGGTAGAAGGCCAGAGTTAACTGCTCCTGGGTTTGGCCAGCCTCGCTCTAAACGTCATGGGCATTTGGGGACTGAATTACTGTATGAAGACGGGCTGCTTTTGTACACTCTCTGCCTTTTAAACAAAACAATTAAATGGTACCTGAAATTAAAAACCTTAAAACAATTTTTTTACCTTACACAACGACTTTGAGGAATCTCGGTATTCTGTTTACCTAGTAAATGTTTTTTGAGCCTCCACTACATGCCAGGTATGTTACTTCTTCCAAAGTCACATAGTAAGACCTGAGTACTTAGAGGTTAGTGGGCTAAGAATAAAAGGAAAACTTCAAAAAGGGTATATGTGCTACTTAGTTTAAAAATAAACACTTCAAATACAATGCAAAGGCTACCACTGCCTTTGGAACTGGAAGGAAGAGGTGGCAACTGCAACAGTTTTTTCCTTTGCCTTTTTCTCGTTCATTCTTCTACGTGCCCAAGTAATACCTGCTGATATCCTAATAGGCCCCTTGTTGGGTCTCATGCAGGATAACAGGACATAAAAAGATGTCTTTTGGAGCTTACAGCCGGGTACACAGAACATCAAACACACCAATAATTATAAAGTAAGAGATCAAGACAAAGACTGTAAGCACACCACAGCACATACTAGGAGGCCAGAATAGGAAGTAAGGATTTTCTCCTACGTAACATACAAGCTTCATGAAGCCCATGACAGATGAGCTGGACCATGAAGGACAGGCAAGACTTCATCTGGAGGTATGGAGCTGCTATTCCAAAGATAGGAAGCACATAAATGATAGTTAAGTATTCTACATACAGTTTTATGTATTACGGTTAGGCATTCTGCACCCATATGAAGTCTGCAATTGTTTTCAACAAGCAAGATAAATCCACAGAGAAAGATAACTTCTGCCACTTTGGAGGTTTCACCTGACAAGGACACCACAGGTATACACATGCATTCCATTAACTTCAGATTTCTTATAGCTCAGACCTTTCTTGTGGTCACTTACATGGCTACCAGTTCAAATTCTCTGAACGGGCTAGTAGAGTAAGTTAACTACACCAAGCCTACATTGAAAATATCCATTCCAACTAGCAGACCAAAAAACGCCACACTTGGGAATCATTTAATATGTTTTCTGAGCCACACCTCCCCAAGTAATTCCCCTCACACATTCCTATCTCTTCGAACTGCTGGAAGTTAAATCATGTTGATATATACAGAAATGCAGTGTCTATCCGACACCTAAATGTTACCTGGAATGCTGATGTCTGAGTCCAGGCTGCAGCTGGCCATCTGGAGCTTCATATGGCTCTTCTACTTCATACACATTTGCATCAGTGTCCTCCATGCTGCTGCAATTCTGCCATCCAGGTTCTGGAGTCTTCCCTACAGCCGTATGAAATGGCAGGTTCTCGTACTCCGGTATTTCCTCGTAATGACGTACATTCTCATACTCTGGGGCGGAGCCACAGGTATCAGCCTTCCAGGCCACCTGGGAGGATGGCTCCCTGGAGAGTATCTGGTCATCCAGAGACTCAGCTCTCGGGCCATTGGCCACACTGATCTGGCCCCGAGACTTCTTCTTTTTCTGAGATTCCAGGCTGTAGTTATCTGCAGAGTACGCCTTGGTTGGTTTTCCTCTCTTGTCTTCGGCCAACAAGCCACGGCAATCACTTTCCAACCCTTTCTGCTCCCCACCAGGAAGGCTGCCTGCTGTGGTATCTCCAAGTTGGCTACTTTTGGACCAAAATTTTTGAAAGTCGTTTTTGGTAAAAGAGATGGACAATTTCAGGTTGAGCAACTTTTTAAAGGAGTTTCTCTTTGGAGGGTCTTTGCAAGGTTTATTACACCTTTCCATATCCACAGCAGATAAAGATTTTGCTCTAGGTTTGGTTAAGGCAGTTGAAGATTCACTATTTGGGAATATGGTGACAGACTTTAAGGACTCAGGGTTCCCTAAAAAGGGTAAAATAGGATGAGGTAATTTCCACACTGGCTTTTCTGAAGTCCGTTTAGGCATATCAAAGGAGGATGACATACCATGGTTTGGGGTATACAAATGATTTCTTTCTAGAAGCTTCTGTGAATTTTTTTCTGCACTTGAAGGGTAAGAACTTTTCTCTACAAGCTCTTCAGAGGCAGCCTTTTTAAGCACTCCTGCAGCAGGCAAGCTGTGTCTTTGAGGTTTAGGGGGGACAATTCTTAAGGAACTTCCCTCTTTTATTATAGGTCCCTTTTGCATTTGAGAGGCAGACATACCTAGGTTACAGGCAGTAGGCAAATGTTCATTGCAAGTGAATTTAAGCTGCTTAGGCAGGCTCATGGATACAGTACTGCACCTGATGAAACTGGTCCCTGTGTCTGTAGAGGGTGACATCCTAGCACCATCTACTTCCACATTATCATTACTTAAATTAGAGTCTGTATCTAATGCAGATGACACTTTTTCAGAAGATGTTTCATGACACATGGCTTTATGTGCACTGACTAAGTCCTGTTTCTCATTATGGAAGTTCCTACTTGACTCACTTTTATTTCCTGGCTGTACTTTACCCACTTGCCTCTGGTTACACACAACATGCTGATGCAGTGTGCTGCTTTTATCATTTTTTGAATTATCTTCAATAAGACAAGAGCTACTATGTGAATTCCCTGGTTCTTCAGCACTTTCACTAGGAGCATCTACATATTTTTGGCGTAACAGACGAGCAGTGCGTGTCTTTCTGGGCTTGGGGGTTGGAAATTTGGGGGTACAAGGCACTAAGTGAATTTCTAAGGGACCAAAGTCAGTGACTTCCGATTTTGTATTCAATCCATCTGAAGATAGAAAAATACTTTTACCATCTTCCGCCGTTTGTGGCTCGCATGAGTTAAGGCAGCTGTTGCCTTTCTCACTGCTATGCTGACAAGACCCAGCAGTCTGAAACTCACCACGTGGAAGCTGTTGGTGGCAGGTGTGATGATCTGACATGTTTTCAACGCCAGACAGACGAGGTAACAAATCTGCAACTTCAATTCTGGGTTGTCTTCCTGAACTCCAGCCCCCATTCACCTGTGGGTTGTGTGTGGATCTGGGCTGCTGTGGGGAGCTGAAAGGTGACATTCCTGCTGTAGTGAGCCTCTCTTCCAGCATGCCCACCTTTAAAACTCTGCCACTGGGGCTCTTGCTCTTCTCAGCAAGAGAATCACACCGACCCCCATTAGTTTTGTTATTTTCTAAACTTTTAGGCCTTTCCACAGGCTCGGGTACAACCTGTTCTGTACGCGTATCCTCTCTGTTCCCAAGCTTAGCGTCACAACCAGAACTGCAGGAACACGTTGGTAAAACAACATCCCTACTCTGACTTGCTCCATTTTTGCCATTAAAATTGTCAGTGCTTTCAGGCAATTCTTGTTTCTGCTCTTCCAGACTCACAGTGGCTCTCCTCAACGGTGCCTTCCCAGTGTCTCTAACAGGTGAGCTCTGCAGAACCTTGGGTTTTGGGGCTATTGCTGGTTTGGTTCTCTTTGTTGACTGTGGAATACTAGAAGCCACGATGTCAGGTTTAGGTGCCACGGGAGGTGGAACTGACTTACTATTTGCCACCATAAACTTTGGCTTGGGGGCCACTGGTGGCTTCTTGATCTCTAAAAAGACAAAAACAATCATTTAATGAGCAAATTGGCAAAGTAGAAATCATACATGATAAAATTTGGTAATATTATTACTTTCAACAATGTGAACTTCATTTTACTAGGTAGGTCATACTTCATTCAACTCTGTATTACTCTTAAAAGTTCCTTCAATTGCCCTTAAATTCTGATATATAAAGTTCTGGGTATACTATACATTTCTTAAGTAGTTCAATATAGTTTCTGCTCCAAGCATGGAGCCGTTTACCACATCTTAAATTGAAATTAAATGTAAAAACTGATTTCTGTTTGGGACCACTACAACAACCCTTCAGTTTGACTATTAAAGTGCTAAGAGTTAAATTTGTAGATTTTTTTTTTAATGGAATGTCTCAGTGGAATGTAGGATACGATTCTTTAAAATTCATATGTATAACAACAGTGTATTTCTGTCTCAATGATGAACATCTTCAAAAAGTTAATGTAAAGTACATATTGTGAAAAAAAAATCATGCTTGGATTTCAGAAATGGTCCTTTAGGTCCATTTTCCACTAACTTTTTGAAGTACCTCATACATTGCAGTTGTATAAATGCCTTTTAAAATGCTCTAGCTCAAGAAAGAGAGCCCTAAAACTATCTTTAAAGAAATACAAGACCTGAAGTTTCCAAAACGCAAAAATTGAAAATTGGGTCCAGTGCGATGGCCTAGTGACTAAATCCTCACCTTGCATGTGTTGGGATCCCAAATGTGTACCATTCATGTCCTGGCTGCTCCACTTCCCTTCCAGCTCCCTGCTTGTGGCTTGGGAAAGCAGTCAAGGGTGGCCCAACGCCTTGGGACCTGCACCTGTGTGGGAGACCTGGAAGAGGCTCCTGGCTCCTGCATTCGGATTGGCTCAGCTCTAATCATTGCGGCCACTTGGGAAGTGAACTAGCAGCAAGAAGATCTTCTCTGTCTCTCCTTCTCTCTGTAAATCTGTCTTTCCAATAAAAATAAATACATCTTTAAAGGAAACTTTAAAATTGATTATTGGATATTATTTGAAACTCCTAATATAGTTCATATTTATTTTTTGCAGAAATTATCAACTGGGAATTTTTCATCAATTGCTTTAGGGAGATTTATATCTTAAAAAGTCACACATTGGGTTCTAGTGGCTAAAGTGCTTGTCTTGCATGTACCAGGATCTCATATGGGTGCCAATTCTAATCTTGGGTACCCCACATTCCATCCATCTCTATTTGTGGCCTGAGAAAGCAGCTCAAGACAGCCCAAAGCCTTGGGACCCTGCATCTGCGTGGGAGACCGAGAAGAGGCTCCTGGCTCCTGGTTTTAGATTGTTGGATTGGCACAACCCCAGCCTTTGTGGCAACTTGAGGAGTGAACCAGTGGACAGAAGATCTTCCCTTCTGTCTCTCCTCTCTATATATCTGACTTTCTAATAAAAATAAAATAAATCTTTTTAAAAAGCCACACACCTGGTCCCTACTGTAGATCTGATCAATCCAAACTCCTGCGGATCCAGTCTAAAGATCTGCAAATCTTTAAAGTTCCACAGATGATCATTCTGTTTATTCACTAGTCATTACTGTTGTGGTACACTTAAAAGAAAACCACAATTTCTAGTGTAGCAATTCTTCCTCACTATTACATGTTAAGTATTTCAGTAGCACCTATCTAGTTAATATCTGCTAGATTAGCACAGACCTGCTCTTAGCCTGTAGGAATCTAATAAAAGTTTACCGAAAAGATTTATTAAGATGAAAGATTGTTAGGGCCTTCATGTATATATATATTTCTTGTTACGCTCCTTTAAATTCTTCTTTCTCCACTGTACTTCTCAACCACATTTTCCCTAGGAAACGTGTGGTCAAAATATTTGATCTTATTTTACTTACATATTTGTTACTTCAACAGATCTTATACGTAATACAAACTGAAAAAAAAAAGTTTTCAGATCTTTTGCAAAGCACTACTACACATGGGATAACTGCTGGGATCCACAAGGCTTTGGTATTTCATTTGGTGAAGATTTTCTTTTCAACAAAGGAAATTAGTCACAACACTTGGGGAAGATATTACATGGAACTGAGTAAAGAGGGGGGAAAAATGGAATAGAGTGCTCTACTTCCTTTTACCAAAGAAACTGCCAAACCCTTTAATACTTGCACTTTGTATACAATCAAATTAGGGTTATAAACACCTTCTCAGTGAATCCTTAGCTATAAAGCTATCATAAAAAAAAGAGGATTATGAGTTCTTCTGAAAATAACTTAGGACAAATTTCAAGGTTTATACAATTTCAGTTGTCTGTCAATAAATATACTTGGTTTGAATTCTTCTTAGCCAGAAAATAACTGTAAGACCCTCTGAAGCCTAGTGACCAAGGTTCCTAATAATGGTGTAGAAAGTGGAATTCCAAATCCATGAAGTCTAAAGAGGAAAACATTCAACTGAACACTCAATGCCTCTTCCTAACAGCCCACCTTACTTAATTCAAACTGACAGACTGTCATGTTGACTTCCTCTCCATCTTTACCAAAATATCCTGACTCTGGGATTGGTAAAGACAATTTTTTAGAAGATCATAGATAAACAGTCCTGAAGATCAACTGCACAACAATGTGAATATATTTAACACTTCTGAACTATATATATAAATTGGCTAAAGTGATAAATGTGTTGTGTATATTTTATCACAATTTTTAAAAATTTGAAACAAAAAAAACACAGGTTATCTTTCATTTTTTTGAATTTTAAGAGTTTTGTAAGAGGCTCCAGGGCCAATTAATCAATCCACTGTTTATGTTTTAGTGAAATCATTTTTTAAATCCTTGATGCCAACTTCACTTGAATCTTTAAATGTGTTTTATGTATGAGTTACTTCTGAAAGACATACATTCCTGTTGTCTCTAACTGTGCAGAAATTAAATTATGACCTGGGTGTCAATTTCTAATAAATACAGCACATCATTAGGTACCTGAAACCCTCAATGCATATTTTCCAAATGAAATCAGGAACTGTCAATGTGGGCTTACCACTGGTGGTTCATTAATTGTGCATTAGAGCCAAACAGGAACAGAACTCACGAGCCAGCTTCCCCGTGGGGTGATGCTGGGCAGACTGGCTTCACCAATGTCCTCACTGACACACGTGGGAGTTGACCGGACTGTGAAAGCCCAGGTGCCCCTGAGATTGTAGCGTCTGAGATACATGTTTCTGAAGAATCAGTCATGCAGGCGCCTCTCTATCCTGTGTTACTTTTCCTTCCCCCTGGTGTATCATCACTACTAGAAGGCAAGTTCCAGGTGGACAGGCACTTGCCACTCACTGTAGCAAAAAGCCTGGGAATCATCAGTTATCACAGACACACACTCCTCTACCTGTATCAGTAAGAGAAAATTTCTTCAAAAGAAAAAAAAAAAGAATCAATATCAATTTTAACATAGAGTAATATTTTGACCAGTTAGTAAGAGTCAACTTCAATAGGATCACTGAACAGTTCCTTAATGGTGAGCAGGAACAAGTGTTCAACTAAGGTACAAGTAAGGCACTATCCCAAATCCTTTCTTATTAGTATTTTCTCAATGGCTCTACTTTGAAACCAACACAACTTGAAACATAATAAGCCATTCTACTGTTGGTCTGTCCAAAGCCAGACTTGAAATAAGTGACTGATGTTTGGAAATGAATTCAGCACCTTTGGATCTTAATACTGTATCAACAGTCAGATCCAAAGCTTCTTAGAGCAAAGTAGCAAATCTTTTATTTACACAGCTGTTTGGCTCCAGGGAAACATAAGGTAAGAAAGTAAACCACTAGGACCATTTTACTATTACAAACATCCCCGTCATCTGTTTTACACACAGATTGTGCTGGGTTCACGTGTAGGCAGTCTTCCTATTGCTCCAGCCAAAAAACACAGCAAGCAGCCAGGACCTGTGCTTGCTAAAAGAGATACAAAACACACACCTACAAGTACCTCTCCACTTCAGCTAAAAAATTACCAATAAGGATCCACCAATGTGAGCTCTTGTCCAGGAGTCACTGACTAAATGTTCTAGAACATTTTGGTGGTTTTTTTTTTTTTGATCAGTACAGTTTAGTTTGACAACAAACACTCCCTCTCCTAACTACAAATCACTTTCCTAAAAGTTTTCATAGTACTGTTCCCCTAAAGCATCATAATCAGTCTGTAATACATCCATCTACAAGAATGGGCTGGAAAGAAAACCTCAGATCTCTTCCATCTTCCCCATGCAGAAGCAAGAAAGAATTTTAACAAATCCTAAAAGATGAGAGAGGAAAACACCGGCTAATACTTCTCAGGGAGCCATGGTAAAAACCAACTCAGCTAGACACAGCAAGTATCTCTCCTTTCAAATACCACAAGAATGTTTGTGGACTGCTTTAACTGTAAAGTTGATAAAATATAAAAATAGCTTGAATTATTCCAGGATAATTAGAGGGAAAGATTCAGAAACGTCAAGATGGGGCTCTGGAGGACTGACTGACATAAATGTCAAAATAGATGCTCTGGATCTGTTCATTATGAACTGTTAGGAGTGAAACTGAAAATTGACATACCTAAGACATGGACAGTGGATCTAAATTGGCTGGCAGGATTTAAAAACTTCTAACCACTTTTCAAGTAAATCATTGTCTCAGAAATAAAGCGTGAACAGAGGTGAGACAGAGAAATTCAGGATGAGAATTCATCATGTAAGCAGATAGCCTCACCCAGCTCCCTGTAAAAACCCGCAGCAGCATTTGATAACTGATCACCAATACACATAGGTTATCAAAAGGAGAAGATCCACATCTCGTGCAGGAATAGTTCACTCCTTGCTTTATTCTCCCTGCTGGCTGACTTCTTGCCTTGTTCGTTGTAACCTAATTACGCCTGAAGACAGAACCAGGCTTTAGAAATAAGACAAATCAGAACAGAGCGCTGTTCGACAGTTTCAAGTTGCAGGAATTTTAAACAAATGCCAAGAAAAGCAATGAAAATTTAATCTGCTACTTAAGTGCTGATTCGGGAAGAAACTTCTAAGGGACAGGCTCGGGCTATTTTACTATAAAAGTCTAATGAACGTTTGAGTGGGCAAAAAGGTTAAAAAAAAAAAAAAAACCTAATGACTGTTGGGGTCCGGCTTTAAAATTAGTCTGTGTTCTTACAAAGTAAATGGGATAGCACTTTAGTCATGATTTTGGAAAACAAACAAACAAAAAAACGTTCCTTAAAAAGCATTCAGAAATACAAAGTCCAGTCTGCTCAAAATCCCCACCTAAGTAAATAACAGGCTTTTGTCATCAGGAAGAGAGGAAAGGCAGGCGTAAGGAAAGCAGGGGGGTGAGAAGACGGAAAGTAAGGCATTGGTTTATACTAACCAAGTATTTACACATAGCGCAAGAAGAATACAGAAAAAAAAAAAAATGCTAGATAAGCTGGGGGGAAAAAGCCACAGGCAATCCCAGCAACAAGGTAACAGGCGTCAGCCCACCGGGACGTGAGAGTAACAACGTCTACACTTGTGCCCCGGTCCCAGGGTCCGAGCGTCTCAGCCTCCCTGCCCGGGCAACCAGGAGCCAGGGGAGCCTGGGCAGCTCCTCGCGATCCACAGGACCGGACGGGAACCCGGACCCCGTTCCCACCTGGCATTCCACCTGACGCCGAGCCCCGGCACGGGTCTGGGGGAAGCGAGGTCCCCGACTGCCCCCTCAGCGCTCTCGCTCAGCCGTCCGCCCGGCGCTGGGGGGAAGCTGTGGAGGGGCGCTGGGGGCGACGCCAGGCTCCCCCCAGCCCCGCCGAGCAAGGTGGTCCAGAGCCCCAAGCCTCGCAGCGCTCGCTTCCCAACTTTTCCAAGCGGCACCGCCGAGCGCGATCCCTTACCGACGGCAGAAGTCATGACTGCCCAGCGCAGTTCACTTCTCCGCTGGCCGCCCTCCTCTCCTCAATCCATGGTCCCTTCTCAGGCCATTGTTTTCCAGAGTTCGGGAAAGAGAGAAAAGCCCCTGCGGCGCTCTCATTCCGTCCCGCCGCACAAAGGATGCGGCCGGCTCCAGCGACCCCGCGGCGCTGCCGGGCGCGAGCCGCCGGCGGCAGGCGGGCGAGCACGAGCGCCGCCCCGCCGCGCTGTGGGCCGACGGCCAGGCGCGGGCACGAGCGAGGCCGCCCGCCGCCCTGCCGGCGCGTGCCCGCCCGGCGCTCCCGCCCCGCCCCCCGCCAAATCAGTGCCGCGGGCGCCCCCTGGCTAGTCGAGACCGTAAAAGGCAGACAAAAACCGCAGCCTCCTCCAATCACAGGCCTCGAGCTTCCTCCTGCTCCCGCCCTTCCCGCCCACAGACTCACGCTCTGCTCCAATGAGCGGGCCTAGAGGAGGAGGAGCAGGAGGGTGGGAGGGAAGCGTGAGCCGCGAGGCATACCGGGAAGTGTAGTTTTCTGCCCCCACGCGCCGGGTAGAACCCGCAGCATCGGAGCTGCCAGGTTCTCCCGCCTTCATTTCCCATCGTGCTGAGGCTGGTGGCATGGCGGAGAAGGATGACACCGGAGTTTGACGAAGAAGTGGTGTTTGAGGTGAGGAAGAAGATGGCGGTGGGCGTGAATTGTCTTTGTTTCCGAAGGATGGAAGAGGCCAGGCGGTCGCGAGGCGCCCCTGCCTGTCTCAGCCACCGAATCCCCACAGTGTCCGGGCCTCTAGTCGGGCTGCTCCATGACAGGTGTAGCCCGAGTCGCCCCGTCCGCGGCGGCGGCGGCCTCAGGCCGGCCCGGAATCCGCAGCTGCAGGGTGGCGGCCTGGCCGGCGGGCAGGAGCCCCGGGGATCCGAGCACCCGCCTGGGACACTGCGCCTGCCTTGGGGCGGGGTCGCGCTCTGCTGCACCTTACCCTGCGGCTGCTTTGGGGAGGTCGCGGTGCACCTTGCCTCAAGTCCACGTTCGCCGCCAAGGCGTGGCCCTCGCCCGGAAGGCAGCAGGTGTCGGTTTTCTCACAGGATTGCAGGACCACGGTTGTAGGACCTACTGTGGGTTGGGGCATCTCTGCGTCCATGTTCGATTCTTTTGTCCTTTGCTATTGCGCTAGGTATATCCAGTTGTAATGAATGAGAGGTCTGAGTCTGAATGCTTTTGTGTAGGACTAATTTCAGATGTACTCTGCCATTTTGAATGAAAAAAACCGGGAGAGTGTTTCTGATGCCGTTATTCTGGTTGATTCAGGTCAAAACCCGAACCCCTAAAAATAGTGCGTGTGCGTGTGCGTGTGCGTGTGTGTGTGTGTGTGTGTGTATGGAAAAATGGCACATGACATACAGCGGGAGAGCCAGCCACTAACCATACAAATTGTTAAATGTTGAAATACGTATCAACTGTCCTTGGAGAATTAATTTGGAAACAGCTGTCTGCTCCAAGACGCTATACCAAATAAATGATAGCCAAGGTGAATCAAATGGGAAGGGCGGAGGAGAGAAACTGTTACAGAAACAGACTTGTATATGCAGAGGTTTGAACCTGTGGAGGTATCCCGTGTGCATTTTTAGCCTGTGATCTGGTTATAGCTACATTGTAGAAGAAACAGAAGGTGTTTGCGTTTTGCTGAAGTCCACTAGAAAAGACAGGACACTGCATTTTGGAAATGAGAAAAAGAAATGATGGAACAAAAGCTTGGGCAGACATGCCTAGGGCAGAATCAAAGAAATGGTTACAGATTGCCTGTGAAAGTTCAAGGACAGACAGAAATGTAGGTTGCATGCATTTCTACTGTAAGGCAAACTGGGTATGCATTGTGGAGCCCTGTTTGATTTCTGACCATAATAAATTGTTGAAGACATTTTCATTGCAGAAACTAAAGCCAAATGAAAATCATCTGATAGGTTTGTGTGTGTATGTGTTTCTATATAAAAGGACGTTTTCATGTATTTTTCTCTTAAATTTTACAGTGCTGGTAATAATACCCACCACCAGTATGTGAAATGACAGAACCATTTCCTTTTATTGGATAGGTTATTTCATAATAACATTATGGTTAGCACTGGTGTAAAGCAAGTTTGAATTGCAGCTTTACTTCAGAGTAATTTCTAGAAGAGAAAGTAGAGAGCTCAAAGATCTGAATAGTTTTTTACAATTCATGAATCAAATCAGTTATGCCATGTCATGTCTCCTCAAGGGATAAGAAGCATTCATTTAACCAAACCCTCAGCAGTAGCCTTCATCTTTGCTGAGTTGATAGGCAAACATAATATGCTACCATTCTGATTTCTGCTTTGTACATTTGTATAGCTGTTAGCCATTTTTATTTCACTTAAGCAGTTCTTTTCGTATTTTTGGGGCCATTTGCCTATTCAGTGCTAGCTTTTTAAAAATTGATTTGCATGAGTTCTTTATATATCTTTGAGATTTTATCATACATACAGAAAAAAAAAAACTATTTTCACATTTGCTGTTTATTTGCTTTTTGTCCAACACATAAATTTTTACAACAGCATTTTGTTGTATTGATGTATTTTTGCTCAGTGTTTCATAGCTGAGTGCACAAAGCAGCGCCCAGGTCTAGAAACCACCTCTCAGCCAGCGACAGCCCCCTGCTGCTCCTTCCAATCTCCCAACTTAGATCAGTCTCGTCTCTGTTTTTTATACACTGCACAGTTGTATTGATATGCTAGTTTGTGTCTGGGTTTTCTTTTTCCGCCTTTATTTGTGAATCATCCATATTGTTACATGAACATTTTTTTTTCCTATAGTATTCCATTGGGAATCTGACTTTTTTAAAAAGCCATGCTTTTGTTGAAGGGCATTAGTTGGTATCCAGTTTTAAATCATTATGGGTAGTGCTACCAGGGGCCTGTTACGGTGTGTTGTCAAACATGTTTCTGTTGACTATCTATACTTGCAAATACTTGCAAGTGTAATGACTGGGTTGTAAGAAATAAGCTATATTTAGCTTCTGTGCAGGTGGCAAATCCATGTGATACACCACAAATCTGGCCTTTCTAAGAGGTGTCTTAGTAGCCGCAGCAAATACCTGCCTTTTAATAGTATCTGTCACTGAACAGAAACTCTCAGCTTTATTATAATCCAGTTAATCCTGTTGTTTTAGGGATAGTTAGTCAGACAAAGATTTCCCTACTCCATAGTCCCAAAGAAATGTTTGTAAAAGTATTTTTGATCTGTTGCATCTGGATATGCCATCCATCTGGAACTGATTTATGTTTAGTATTAAGATCAATGCAATCTTTCCCCATATGGATATCCATTTGACCCAGCATTATTACTGAATGGACCGTTCTTTCCTCACTGTTGAGTTGCCTTTGTCATAAATCAGGGTATCTTTTATTTATAACCTGTCAGAGAAAGAGATAATACATCTGCTGGTTTTACTCCCTAAATGGCTGCAACATCCAGAGCTGGTCTGGTCCAAAGTTGGGAGCCAGGAGCTTGTTATTGTCTCCATGTGGATGCTGGGGCCCATGCACGTGAGCCATCCCACGTGGACTGCTCTCAGGCCCTAAGCAGGGAGCTGGATTGGAAGTGAAGCAGCCAGATCTCAAGCCTGTAGCCATATGGGATGGTGGCACTGCAGGCAAAGGATTAGCTCAATTGCTACCATGTTGGTCCCATAGACCTCTTTCTAGATGCTTCTTTTCCATTGATCAATTTGTCTGTTTTTATGTCATTACTAATTTATTTTAATTACCGTAATTTTATATCTATAGATGTTAATAACCAATAGAATAAAAGCTTCCAACTTTATTCCTCTCCAGGAATTCCTTTGGTTGCTTTGGGCGCATTTTATTTTTGTATGGGTTTTAGGATCCTCCTGTAAATCTCAGTGTTTTTCAGAAACCTGAGTGAAATATTGATATGATTGAGATTGCTTTGAATCTATAGATTGATTTGGGGAAGCTTGACATGTTTCAGTATAGAGTTGCTGGCCTTGCCTTGGGTTTTAGGCCTAGAAAGTACAGCAATTTCCTGCTGTTTAGTCCCTTGCTGTTTTACTGTCTCCCATATTTTGCTCGGGTACTGTTTACAGCTTTGTAACTGTTCATTTCATCCAATTTTTTAGTTATATTGATTCTTCCAGTCTTCCTGTAAGGTGACTTCCTGGGTTAACCTATTCTGGTGCTCTTCCTCTATTTTTTGGAATAGTTTCTTTTCCATTATCATCTACGGCCAATGATTTTGTCTTCTACAGACTTCTTTTTTCTGGTAGTATTATGTAAAGTATATTGAAAATCCATCTTTATTGGACTCTGCACATCTTTCAGAGTCTGACTCCCTGATGGTTCAGATTTGTGGGATTAAGAGTTGCCATAGGGCCGCCATTGCGATGCAGCAAGTTAAGCTGCCACCACCTCTCATGCCAGCATTCCATGTGAGCTTCCGGTTTAAGTCCTGGCTGTGCTACTTCCAGTCTAGCTCCCTTCGGATGTGACTAGGAGAGTAGCAGAGGCTGGCCCCAGTGCTTGGGCCTTTGCTGCCCATGTGGAAGATCTGGATAAAGTTCCAAGTTCTGACCATAGCCTGGCCCCAGGTACAGCATTAGAACCCTTTGGGATGTAAACCTGTGGTTAGAATCTGTGTGTTTCTCTTCTCTCTCTCTCTCTCTCCCTCCCTCTCTGAAACTGCCTGTCAACTAAAATAACAATAATAGTAATAATTTTTAAAATATCTATATCGGAGGGATCAGCTTCATGGTATAGCAAGCTAAGTCTCTGCCTATAGTGTCAGTATCCTGCATGGGTACTAGTTTGAGTCCTGGCAGTTCCATGTCTGATCCAGCTTCCTGCTAGTGACCTGGGAAGACAACAGAAGAGGGCCCAACTATTTGGACTCCTGCATCCACATGGAAGCCATGGAAGAAACTCTTGGCTCCTGCCTTCGGACCAGCTCAGCTCTGGCCATTATAGCCATTAAGGGAGTAAACCAGCAGGTGCAAGATCTCTGTCTCTTCCTGCCTTTTAAATAAAAATAAATGTATATTTAAAAATAACTAAATAAAATAAATGAAGATTCTTTCAATAAAAATCTCTATATGTGGGCCTGACGGCATGGCCTAGCAGCTAAAGTCCTCGCCTTGAACACACCAGGATCCCATATGGGCACCGGTTCTAATCCCGGCAGTTCCACTTCCCATCCAGCTCCCTGCCTGTGGCCTGGGAAAGCAGTCAAGGACGGCCCAAAGCTTTGGGACCCTGCACCCACGTGGGATACCTGGAAGAAGTTCCTGGATCCTGGCTTCAGATCGGCATAGCATCGGCCATTGCGCTCACTTGGGGAGTGAATCATCAGATGGAAGATCTTCCTCTGTCTCTCCTCCTCTCTGTGTATCTGACTTCCCAATAAATAAATAAATCTTTATGTGTATCTAAACATAGAAAAATAGTTGCTTTGGTAGTTAAATAACCTCGGTTTTTTCAGGCCTATAGTTTCTTAATTTATAAAAATGTAGTAGGTTCTTGGTCTGTTTGCTTCAGGCTGTTTCACATACTCACCAATCTTATCCCTGAAGTCTGTCTGGATCTTTTCTTCCTCTCGTTCAACCTTAATGGCAACCATCTTGGTCATGCACCTCTTGGTGC